GTCGGCCACCTTGTCATGGGTCGTCCAGATCTGGACGTTGCCGTCGCGCTCAGCCTCGCTCCTCGAACCAAACGGGCGCCTGGAACCGCCCCATCCTGGATCTCCTCGTCCCGCACCTCCCCGTCCAACTTCTCTGCGAGGTAACTTTTTTGGCTGTCCCCGAGATTTTAACCCCATGTGTGCTTGTTTGGGAGGTCATAACTTCATGCATGTTGCCCCATTTTGCGTGCATGATATGTCAAAATGTTCAACTCAGAGTGCTCTTCATGATGGAGTAGTTTTCATTCATGTTCCTATTTATGTTGATGCCGTAATCATCGTTGCAAAACTGCTAAGTGATATAAAGTGCTGGAATCTGCTGACTGTTAACATCATGTATGCATCTTGTGAGTGCTATAACTTTGTCCCTGTTGATCCTATCATTATGATCTTGATATGCACATGTTCTTCTCCTCATGCTCTACATGTTGGTGTGCTTTGCATTCATTTTAGGGTGCATCTTGACATGTTAATCTCTGTTGCAAAAGTGCATGTTGCTGTTAACTGCTGAAAACTGTTATAACTTGCCTATTTGTTATTTTTATATCGTTTTGTGTGATTTTCTTTTGAGCATCATGTCTACATGTTTTAGGAGAAGTTTTATGCCATATTTATAAGGGTGCAATCGATGTATTTTGATATGCCATGTAGCGAGTGCATCAAGCTCGTGAAGTGGGCTACTCGCTGATAATGTTCTGTCAATGCTGAATCTGTCATATCATGTTGCCATGTTTGCTTGATGCTAACAATTAATCCATGGATATTATGGAGATGCTTAGTTGACATGTTTTGTGTCTATGTTATGCTCTATCGTTCCATGCCTTGTTTTGCCATATATATGTTCTTTAGCATATGTTTTCATTGCCATGAACATGCCTACCTGCTGTTCCAGATTTCTGTTAACTTCATGACGCCTTGTTGTGAGCTTGATATTAGTTGATACATGCCTATTATGGAGATTCTCCAATTACATGTTTTGAATTATGATATGAGTACTTTGTTAACATGCTATGGTTGTAAATTTTAAATATCATATGCCTCTGTTTCATGTTTGCAAACATGCTATCATAATGTTGGTATTTTTCACTTGCTGAAACCGTTTCAACATTCAATCTCGTCATGTTGTTTCCCACTAATACACGAGCCATATGTACATGATGCCATGATGTTATTTGCTTTTTTATGTGTACTTTTATGCCATGCCCTTGGTTGCTATGTTTACTTCCTATAGCTTGTCTCTTTCTTGCTCTCAAGTTGCCATCATATTAACTCTGCTCATGTATATGTCCCTGCGTTATAAAGTTGCATTTTGCATTAATCATATTGGTTTAATCTTGACGCCTATGAACCTTAACCTTAATGATATTTGAAGTATGTTATCTTTACATGAAGTGCATGTCAAGTTTGTGCTTATATGGTTCCTGTAGCATGTTGTTTTGATGTTTGCAAAGTGCCTAGTTCCTGTTTTGGGCGGATTGTTGTTATATCTTGTTTCGAGTGTATGTGTTGCACCGTTGCTCCGTTTTGAGCATGATCTATATGAAACTTGCTTAGAATTGCATGTAGTTTCATATTATCATGTTGCATCCATGTTTTGAGAGTGTTTTCTTGATGTTTGAATGCATTATTCATCAATGCCATGTTTGACTTGTTTTGCTCATATCTTCTAGGCCATAGCTCCGAATTAAATGAACTTTATATGTAATTTGACTAGAATTTCGTGTAGATCATCTTGGTGCATCTTAACTTGCTGTTTAACAATGTGAACATAAGGTTTATTCAGATCTGTACCAATTTTGAAATTTGCATATGAGGACTTACCGGAATTGTTATATGTTGTTTCTGGCCTCATTTAAACTTGCTTTGATGTGATATTCTTGTATGCTTCATCTCTTGCCATGAGTAGCATCATATAGCCTTTGTCATGCATCATGCTTGATTGTGCATCATGTCATGTTTATGTGTTGTGTATTTACCATCTTGTTTGCTTCTTTCCGGTTTTGCTTCTTCTCGATAGTTCCTGTTTCGTTGCGATCGTGAGGATTCGTTCGTCTACGCTTGGTTCGTCTTTGCCCGTTCGTCTTCTTCATGGACCCGTTCTTCTTCCTAGTGGGATTTCAGGCAAGATGACCATTACCCTGGATCTCACTACTATCATTGCTATGCTAGTTGCTTCGTTCTATCGCTATGCTGCGCTACCTATCACTTGTTTATCAAGCCTCCCAAATTGCCATGTCAGCCTCTAACCTTTTTTTCACCCTTCCTAGCAAACCTTTGTTTGGCTATGTTACCGCTTTTGCTTAGCCCCTCTTAT